AAAATACTAATGCTGTTATTTACTTTGAATATCATACAAGGTTACCGTGAAAACAGATATATATATAAAATAATTTACACAAATGACAAATGCAAAAATAGGTAGTCCAATTTCCTTGGGAAATCATTAACTGGTTTGATGATCTCATAAATTATGCCACAGGGTAATTTATTACTCATTTTCTGATAACTTTTATTTTACAAGAGGTTTCTGAAAACATTAAATTTCAAGTCAAATGAATGAAACTAATATATACACATAGGTATTTGGGAACAGAAAAGTGCAATTGTTTCCAAATTTAAGTTAATATTTGTTGAACTCTATTAGATACAATAGAACATCCAGGGGGTTAAGGGAAACATAAAGATTCCCAGGACACGCATTCTCCAATCATCAAGGAATGAGAATCTAGACCAGCAGAAGACCAGTATGTAAATAAATAACTCTAATTTATAGAGTTGATTTCATAAGCCCTCTGAAAGATTAGGTATGTAGCATTAGAAATGACTTCTGACTGTATCTGGATATGGAAAGTTCTGGATCTGCAGGCAACTTGACCTTAAAATGTGGAGAAATTCCAGTAAGAATGGAATGAAGAAGAGCTTTATAAAAAAGGCTAGAATAGCAGCATGAGGGAAGATACAAAAAGTGCAGATTTTATTGTGGGCAAAAGAAGTGGGATTTTTCCTGATTCCTTGAATTTGTAGCATTTTATAGTTTTCAAAGTGCTTTCACATATGTTGCCTTATTTGGGAACTACGCACTCATGAGGAAGTTTATAGGAAAGTGTCTTCATCTGTTTTATGTTCTAATGATAATAATAATAAAACCCGAGGCTGAATACTTTGTAAAGAAAAAGAGGTCTATTTTGGCTAGTAGTTTTGGAGGCAAGATCAGATGATCACATCTTGTGAGGCCTCCATGCTTGTCATATCACGATGGGTGTCATCACATGGCAGGAGCACACATAGTGTGTGCTGAAGAGAGACTTAGGGGAGATGCCATGCTCTCTTATAACAACCAGATCTCAAAAAAACTAATCTAGTCCCATGAGAGCTAGAATTCCTGCAGGGTGACATTAATCCATTACAGAGAGCTAATGACCTATCTTCAAGCCCTCACCACTTCAGTGCCATTATGCTTTGGACTAAGCCTCAAACTGAGTGTTGATGGGAACAGACCATATTCAAACCATAGTGAAAAGATACTTTTTGTGCTTTACTTAGAAAGAAAATGAAGTTGGTTTTGGGTTTTGAGACAGGGTCTCACTATATAGTTCAGGCTGGCCTTGAACTCACTATTTGGCCCAGGATGGCCTTGAGCTATTGGAGATCCACCTACCTCAGCCTCCTAAGTGCCAAAATTACAGGCATGCACCATCATGCCTGTGAAAATGAATATCAGAGAAAACAAATGACTTGTAAAAAGTTATGTTAGTAAATTGTGCTTAAGAAGAAATCATGACAATTAACCTGGTAAAAGTGTGAAAGAGAAAGTGCAACATGTTACTGACATAGTAAAATGTACAAGTCTGCACCAGAGCAGATTTGCTTGCAATGATGAAAAGATAGTTTTTTAAAATAAGCGCTGCACATGCATAATGCTCGTGCTTTGCTCTTGACTGGATGTAAGGAGAAAGATGCATCAAAAGACTCAGAGACTAGTAACATATAAACAAACTACTTTGGCCCTGTGGGTCACATCAGTGAAATCTCTTAATGTCTTCAGTGTCAGTTCCCAGGTCATATCTCTCAGGGGAGCCTAATTCTAATTAAATGTAATATTTGATCCAAATGTGCACTGGTATAAAATATCTAAAGAAGAAATGAGAAATTGTGATGAATCAGATAATGAAGCATTTCATGGTTTGAAAATATGTCCACAAATTCTTCGATGCTTCTCTTTTATGAAATAAATTTAATTGCCTTTATTTATGGGCTGTGCAGAATGACTGATTCTAATAAACAGAATGAGTAACTATATTAGACTATATGATATGGTTTGAATGTTTTTTGTATCCTCCAGATTTGTGTAGAAACTGAATCCCAGTGCAATAAGATTGAGAAGTATGGCCTTTTTAACATGCATGGGATCAGATACCTTTATTTGCCTTTCCGCTTTCCACCATTTGAGAACATAGTATTCTCCTCTTCTGAAGGACATGCAGTGCTCAAGTCTCCATCCTGAAAGCAGAGATGGGACCCTCAGTAGACATACACTGCTGACACTGTGTTCTTGAACTTTCCAGCCTCCACAATGGTGAGAAATAAATTTCTGTTCATTATAAACGCAGGCTCAGGTCTGCTAAGCAGCACAAAAGGGAGTAAGACACTAGGTAACAAAGGACATGACTGTTGTGTTTTTGCCTTCTCTTTTAGATCATACACTCAGATTAGCTTACACATCATGAGAACAGCCAGGCAGTTCTACGAAAATAACTTTAAGATAAGAATTTAAGTCCTCCTTTCATCAGCTATGCCAGTGAGCCATCTTGAGATAGGGACTACTACAGTGGGACAGAAGACTGGGATGACAAAATAAACTTCTGTGTTCCCTTATTAGCATGATATGTTTTAATTGAGCAATCATGAGTCCCTGATAAAACCACCACAACAATGTTTGCATGAAAGAAATTGTTACTAAGGAAAAGAAAAAAAAGAAAACCAAACCCTCTAGCTTCACATGCTCGTCATTAAACGAACATCTCCAATTTTGGAGGTTACACAGGCAGTACATTATTAGCTCCCCACAACTTTTGATATAGGATAGCACCTCTGATGCTGTTGTTATGGTAACAGTTATTGGGCTTTCTTCTCATGGATCTGAAGGCTGGGTTTCCTGAGAAAATTGACTCTTCAGTCTTTTGATCTCTTAATGATATATGAAGACATGCTCATCATTAAAGAAATGTTTTGCCCACAACTATGATAAAGGGTGAATTTGACCAGTCACTGCTGGAGTTGGTGTATGTTTTTTCTATCCCACTCTTGTGTTTTACCAGCAGCTCAAGCACTAAAATTCCTTTAGCCCTTTCGCAAAGCAATACGATGATGATATCAACTGTTGGAGAACTCGACGGTTCCTGAGCAAAGTTGACCATCTGTTAGTCCATCACGTACAAGGTCAAGATATGCCTGTGTAGCTTAGGACACTGGATACATGGAAATTCAACAGCTTCTAGGACATATTGACTATGACCACCCAGTGGTTCAAGTCTGTCACAAGAAAAAAAAACACCTTTTGAAACATACCATTAGCAAATGAAAATTACTGGATTTTAGCCAACATCAATACAGCTGTTCTCTTATGTGTAGCAACTTTCCTTATTCTATGAATAGTAGCTTGGTTACTCAGCCAATTGCTTATTCATCTTTCAAACAAAAATCTAATATTGCTGAAGGCCCTGTCACCCCCCTTCCCCCCGCCAAGCTTTGCTTGTACGAGACTCTATGTGCTTGAAATATTTGGCCCAGTCTCATTTCTACAACCTCTGGGTCAAAAAAAATCCCAATCTCAGAAATGGACCTTCTAGTTTCAGATTTTTAAATGACAGCCCTGGCCACTATCTTAAGTGTAACCTTTTGAGAAATGCTGAACCAGAACCACTCAACTAGACCACTGGCAAATTCTGACCAACAAAAACTTTGAAAAACAAGTAAGATAGTTTGTTAGATAGAAATGAATAATACAAAGGTGAAAGTGAAAAAACTACATAGTATAGGACTTTCAGGGCAGAGATTACAATTGAATTTGAATTGGAGAGAACAAGATTCTTTCTGGACCTCTTAATGATTTAGAAGAGTAAAAACTGAACAAAATAAATTCTGAACCCAATCTAGCCAACTTTGACCACTAATCACTGCCCACTAAGATTCTAGACATTACTATATAACATATAAATTATATAAATACATGTAAATAATATAAGTATATATTTATAGAAATTATATGAATTGGGCTGAGGATTTAGCTCAATGTTTTTGTCACCTGCTGTGCAAGCGCAAGGACCTGCGTTCAATCCCTGGTACCAAAAAAAAAAATTATATGAATTAATGTATTTAAATATATTATACGAATTAATATATTTAAATATACTATTATTCATTTAACTGTATTATTATTAACATATTTAAATCCCTATATTCAAGACATTAAGATATTTACATCCTTTATACGTGTATTCTTCTGGTTCAAATGCAGTAGAATGGTATGCTTATAATGTCACAACTCCACTGTTTTAATATTTCAATTCAGAAAGAAACAAATTCTAATTTACAAAACTATGGGGAGTCTCTCGTGTCATATATGTATGTGTGTATTCATCTTTGCTTATGTTTGTGGGTAAATTTGAAAAGCTTCTCACATTGCCCTCAAGTGTATGTATGTATATATATACATACATACATACAGCCCTACCTTTTACAATGTACTTTCAAAGATCATTCCCCTCAGGGCATGCCACAAGAAGACAGATGCCTAGATATGCTGTGTAGGGCTCACTTAGCTATCTAAAAATGAAGAGATTTTTAATACAGACACTAATATATATTCGACATGTAAAGTGGCATTTTCTAAGACATGCTAAACTTAGAAAAAAATAATCAAAGCTGTTCGTTCTATCAAATCTCCTCTCTGCAGTTCTCCCTCTCAAGTTCAATAAGGGTACAAAAAAAGGCCTCCCAGACTAGCATTACGTTGAATTTTGGGACAGACTGCGAGGGTCAAATCAAAAAACGTGTGTGGACTGACTAGCTGAACAGATGGGCAAAACCCTAAATTAGAAAAAAAAAAAAAAGTATTTGGAGGTTCCCAAGTCGCAATTTCCCCCGTTCTCAGAGTTCATCCATTTTTTTGATGGCACCCGACACTAGCGTTTCCTCAATGGGCCAGCGCACACGCACCGCGGGGTGTGGTGGCCCACAGGCCAGAGCGCTAACACCGCGAGACGTGGGAGGGAAGTGGGCGGGGAGTGGGCGGGGCCGGACGCGCGGGAGATTTGAACTTGCTCTACTCGGAGTCAGTGCCTGCGCGGAGGTGAGGATACAAAACAGTTTTCTCCTCAGGCCCTGCGACTAGTAAGGCACAGCTCCGGTTGGAGAGATGGTGGAAGGACCAGGCTGTACTCTGAATGGAGAGAAAATTCGGGCGCTAGTGCACCCGGGTCAGGCGGTGACTGACGTGCGGGGAAGGGCTCTGCAGAGCCTGGAACGCCACTCGCCGCCACCCGCAGCTTCCGTGACTGAGGTCTCTTTCCAGGTGAGCTACTGCTCTACTCTAACTGGCCCTGCAGCTGCAGGGGGAAATAGAATAAAAACCCTATCAGGTTTCCAGGATCCATAATGTCATTTGTTTGCTCTGGTTCAGGTTGTCTGGGACTTCGCTTTTCTCAGTGTTTTTCTGTAACTGGACGGAGATGTTGGTCCTAACTAGAACAGTGGGCCGATGGGATGGAATAGATTGAGCTTTTTTTATTCCAAGTCACCTTGCTTAACTTCTTAGTAACAACATAAGATGGCTTCCCTATGCCTACAGCTCCATTCTGCATTGTTAATATTAGATAAGTGCAACCTCTGATGTTTCTTTCTTCACATTTTTAAGATTGTAAGCTTTTAACATAGAATTCTTGATTGCCTAATATTCTGCCATGGATAAGTATGTTACAGGTAATCTATAATTCTAAAATTGCACACAGAGTATTCAGCACTACTCACTCAATTTAATATTGCCATCTAATGAAGGGTCAGCACAACCCAGTCTGGTTTATTGAAGAGAATTTATTTCTATTCAAAGTAAATTGTAGCACAGCTTCTTTCCATTCAAGCATTCATTGCAAATAGTGTGATATCCACTTGATAAGACCTTAGAACTTCTACTAAAAATATTCTGATTAAGCCATAATGCTTTTAAAGCTGTTTAGATGTGTGAATGATTATATTTCACATGCAATATTGTGCTATACTTCAATTTCTCCCGCAAAGTTTCCCCATAGCCTTTGATCTTGGAAAGAAAAAGTCACTTGCTCTGAAATTAGCAGGTGCTTCCAACTTGAAAGAAATGAGGTTCTAAGTCTGAGGAAATGTACTTTCAAACTCTGAAACAGAATTAGCTTTGCATCTTCCTCCACTTGCCCTTTATTTGACTTGATACATCTGTAAATACTATGTAATTTTTAAAAAATTATTTTGTTTCTCAAAATCACTTCATGGTCTGTAGAGGTGAATTTTAATGTTCCTTTAAGAATATTAATGCTTATGAAAATCACTCATTCAACACAATTTTGAATAATCGCAAAGCACCTGAGGAACAAAAGCACATCCCATTGTAGAGCCTCTAGCTTAATGGGGAAGATACACGTTCATTCATTCAAGAATAGTATAAAGAAATATAAGTTGATATATTCTCTGAAGGAGAAGAGTTCTATAAGGATTTATAGAAAGGTCAGAGAAGGTTTGAAGTAACAAAGCTGATGTATAAAGGGCAACTTGGAGACCTACAGTATCTGGGTCAAAGCTTGGGCAAAGAACACTTCAGACCAAATAACAGCAAAGAAATAGAAATCCACGAATATGAGGGACTGAAAGCAAACTAATGTGGATGGAAAAGAGAATGAAATACAGGCAAGATCAAGTGCTACGAAACTGTTTAGAAGGTAGGAGGCAGACAACAGAGAACTTTGTAGACCAGATTAGGGACTTTGTATGTATTCTTAGAATCATAAGAATACTTACAATGTGATAAGATTCACTTACACCTTGAAAAGCAAACAGAGTGGAGAAAAGGCAAAGTAGGCACCATTCCCTCAATCAGGATACTACTGCGGTGACCCAGATGCAGTAGTGACTCCTGAGTTTGGGCATAGGCCCTGGTGGTGGACGGAGATTAAGAGAGGGAAGAGAATTACTATATCAGAAGTGAAGGCTGTAGGATTTAGCAATGGATCTGATAGGAATATCCTTATAAATATCAATTTATATCATTCACCAACAATATATTTCGTATTAGGCTTTATGCTATTTCCTGGGAATATAAAGATGAATAAGATAAGTTTCCTTCTGCAAGAATCCAACCTGATATTTTAAATAATCACTTCATTGGTATTTAGGCAAAATATTTCTTTTAAGTTGTGATTATCCCTGGTGGCAAAGCATGGAGTGCTTTCCTATTTCATTTAGTCATGAGAAAGAATTACTCTGTAATAAAAAATTAACCCAAATACACAGGTAAGAAATAGGAGTCTCAAAGAAGTTTAAATCCACTGCCTAAGATCACATGAGGAGTAAGGATTTGAGCCAGGGCTTCATCTCCCTTCTTTCAGACTCCAAAGCTTACTCTCTTAACTATGCTATAACTCCTTTCAATAATAAAAGATTCAGGGGCCGGGTATTTAGTTCAGTGGCATCAGTGCCTCACAAGCACAAGGACCTGAATTCGATCCCTGGTACCACAGAAAAACAAAACAAACAAACAAAAATAATAGTAAAAGATTCAGTAGCAAATTGGCTAAGACAGTGGTAGTAACACTACAATGCTCTGTATGTGGTAGTGACTGTTTATTAACTACAAAAGTGTGACCTTGTCTTTCCACTAGTTACCACCATTTTTGGTTTTGTTCAACTTAGTCAATTCTCTTATTCACTCCGATAATTTTCTCCTAATGGCTTCCATTCTCATTTTCAGATGGCACAAAAACATGCAGCCTTTAACCTAATGTAAATACTTCATTAATGGTTAGCAATGATACCAATAAGCTGTATCCCACAAATAACCCTGTGTTTAAAATTGTTATGTTTGATACATTAATGAAAAGAGAGGTTAAAAATTAGAAAGACCTTTTTGATTAGGATGAGGAGTCTGACATTGGATTTGCAAGTCAATATGGAATTAATAATTTTCTTGTAGCTGTTGGCAAAGTGATTCACTGTCTGAACCTTTGATCTATACAACACGAGTAATAACTTTTGTAAATATGAAGAGTCTTACATTTGAGAGGAATGTTCTATCCACAATAAATTTCATTAAAACATGGTAGCTTGGGCCGGGGATTTAGCTCAGTGGTTTTGCTGCCTGCTGTGCAAACTCAAGGACCTGAGTTCAATTCCTGGTACCACAAAAAAAAAAAACATGGTAGCTTGTCACAAACTTGGAAGATCATTACTGTAATAAATGAGCCTGCGTGCTCACTTCGGCAACACATATATTAATTAACACATGAGCCTGTTTCCTAAACAAGTATACCAGAGAATTAAAAATACTTAAGTGTGGGCCAGGGATTTAGCTCAGTGGTTTCGCCGCCTGCTGTGCAAGCGCAAGAACCCGAGTTCGATCCCCCGTACCAAAAAAAGTTAAGTGTTTCTGTCACTGGCTTGAAATGATTAATTTTCTTAATACAGCATTTAAAAATAGCTTTATTACTGCATACTATAACTTTACAGTGCAAAAAACCAAGCCAGAAAAGGAAAAACAAACAAAATACTTAGCTCCATAGCTACTGCTGTAGCAAACCAGTTACTCTGTCATATAGCGTACCTCTTTTTGCAGTTTAAAGTTCACAGAAAACACATTTCAATGCATCATTCCTTGTGACAATTGATCCTGATTTTGAAGAAGAAAGCCTAGCCATAGAAGAATCCCAGCATCTGCCAGTCATGTGTGCATTGTGTTATTTCTCGGAGTTTTGATCCATTGTCTTGTCAGCATAAAATTATGCAACTGCGTAAGCACATTGTATAAAACTCTGCTGGAGTGCTGGAACCTAATGGTAAGAAACAGTACTGGGGGGCCGGCGATTTAGCTCAGTGGTTCCTGAGCCTGCCTCACAAGCCCCTGTACCAAAAAAAAACAAAACAAACCAGTATTGGAATGTAAATGCACATATCTGGCTAATGAGCTTTGAAGAGTCAATTCTATGATTTTTAAGTGTTGAGTGGATATAATATTTTAGTGAAATCAGTGTGTAATATGCATGTGTTTTCAATCTCCTGTCAACAAAACAGGATAGGAAGCAGTTTATATTTGAAACATGATCCCTTAACTATTATGACTAAAGATTTCATATATGTATTTATGAGTGTCATGAACAAATTAGGCATTTAGTAAAAGGTAAAAGGAGGAAAGCAAAGTTTGTAGTACAGAATGATTAAGGACTTAAAAGTAAGTTCCAATTGTTCACTATGAGTGCATGTGTATTTTGTTGGGCATGCTATTTGGAAATGCCTACATCTTAAAAATAATGAAGCCCCATAGTACGTTTTCCTCTACCTTCCCCTTCTTCAAAATGAGAAATAAAATCATAGTTCTTTACATTGCTATTATTTGAACAAATAAGCTGAGTCACAGAAATTCATTTTCCAGCTGTATGAAGTTTATTCCTGTAAGTATCCAAAGAGGTTCTAAATATTTTACAGAACATGCCTTATATACTTACTTGCCTTCTTAAATGAATATTGATGATTTCTCCTTAGAGATTCAGGATCATTGTTATCAGCATTCAGCATTATATGGAATCACAAAACAGTGATAGCAGAGAGCAGGTATTATGTTATTTTTACAGACAAGCAAACAAAGAGAGGTGATTTTTCTATGATTGTTGTCACTTTTTATCCCACACTGGTCAGTATGCTGTAAAGAACATGTGGTCATCTTGATTTTGAATTTCCACTCTTTTGTTACTCCTCATCTGGAATTGGTTATACTCACATCTTAGTTTACTTGGTCAGGATTCAGTTAGAGGACAGATAAAACTGTTAGCTTAATGGGTAGCAAAATAAGCATCATCGTTATTGTTCCTTTTTTCTCTTGGATCAGGGCTTTCTCACCAAACCCATTTACCTAAGGAACTATTCCCCTATGAAGAGCTTGCAACATTTGATGCTCTCAAATAAGATCCAAAGTATTTAGGTTCTGGATAAGGGCTCATAGGTTCTGCTTTTTAAAAAATTGTACACTATGTGGACCTAAAGATTTTATAAATTTTGGAATTTAAAGACCATTTTAAAATTAGGTTCTTTGATGGTTTAGATTAATAAATAAGTGGCCGCTAAGTAAAGTGTTACATTAGTATAGGAAAGCATGTGAGGAAAAGAGGAGAGAATTCGAAAATAAATATGTTATCTTCTCTGTAGAGAAAATATATAACTACAGTAAAGTTGAAATATTTATCTATGAAAAAGTCTTATTCTATTCTGAAAAGTTCATCTTCCTTGTTCACCCATGGATAGGCAGGATAAATGGTAATCAGCACAATAAATCATGTGCTG